TAAAATCACATAAATATATACAAACATTAAAATCACTTATATCCGCATTAAAAGTAGCTTAAAAACCATCTCAGGACAGCATTTTGCCTCATTGCACTGCCCTAAAGACTTCGTCCCACAGCCAGGTCTTCACTATCCTTCTGAAGGACAGGAAGGAGGAAGTTAATCTAATATTGCCAGGAAGGGAGCTCCATAACCAGGGGGGCCATCACTAAGAAGGCCCTGTCGGAGGGGAAGAAAAAAATAATAAAAAATGTAATATGAATAAACCTGTAAAGAATGAGAATAGATAATATAGAAATATACTATTATAATGTATGCCTACAATAGACAATTATTATCTGTTCAAATATGGGTTTTTTTCAATACAAAAACTTTTAAAAAAAACTAAGAAGGCCCGGTCTCTCGTCCCTGCCAAGTAGTTTAAATGTTTTTGAATATTTTCATAAAACTATAATTTAAGATAAAACTGTCCAACTCTGATTAAACCATTGTTCTAACCTTCTTCAATGTAAATGTGCTTACATATCCTTCCAATAATAATAAAGAGAGTAAAACAATAAATGTAATAATAATAATAATAATAAAGCATAGAGTAAAATACTAAATGCAATAACAACAATAATAATGTAAAATAATAAGTATAATAACAATAGAGTATAATAATCAATGTAATAAAAACAATAGAGTAAAACAATGTAAATATAGTAATAATAATAGTTAAATAATAAATATAATAATAATAAATAGAGTAAAATAATAAATGTAGAAAAATAATAAATTACATTATTATTATTATTATTATTATTATTATTATTATTATTATTATTATTTCAAACATAATAATGAGGGGGGACTCAGGGCGGCTTACATCCAGCAGCAATTTGATGCCAATACGCACAACAAAACAATATAACACAAATTTGACATTAATTAAAACAATAACTTATACAATATCCAATGAAAAACAATCTAACAGCAATAACAACAACAACAACTTTGACTGGAGTATAAGCGGGGGGGGGGGGCTTTTTCAGCCTAAAAAGGGCTGAAAAACTTGGCTTATACTTGAGTATATACAGTAAGCTGATTTCCAAAGGAGGACCTTCAATATACACCAGACATACACACCTCAAGCTAGACTGTCCTTACTTTAAAACTAAACAACAAGTTCTTTCATCTGGAGACTTTACATAATCTCCTTGTGAGTTAAACAAATTCAGCCTAGCATCACACCAACTGGTAATAAATAACACAGTGTTTTTTGCTATGCGCTGGCTTCTGCAAAGAAAAAAAAAAGGGGGGGGGAAGAGACTTTAAGGCCTCAGAAGTTTATATAATTAACTAACAGTGTTTTTAAAAATATCTATCTATCTATCATCTATCTATACACACTTGAATTTTCGAATATCTGTCTGCACAAGGGATGAATTTCTCCTTGAAGCAATTTCACTGAGCAATTTTAGCATTTTACCTCCTGCTGTAAGAAAGTCTTTGGCAACCAGCTTTGGAAGCCTCTTCAGAATTTGGGACATGTTCTGAACAAAATTCTCATGAGAAATAGCATTTTTTTAAAAATAGAGAAAATAATATGCCTTCATAGGAATATTATTTCTACGTATTAAAAAACTCTAAAATCTGGAGAGTAAATAAAGAGGGGCACTCAAATAACAGGGTAATTTCTGCCATGAAACAATTAGAGCCAACTAATACCTTCCAACAAAGGATTCACCCAGGGAGAAAACAGCCAATAAATGCTAAGCATGGTGGCTAATTGCAACATTCACACTTGCCTCAAGCAGACTAGAGTTCTTTCTCCCACTCTGGACATTCCACAGGTATATAAACCTCACTTGCCTAGTTTCCAATAGGCCTCACAACCTCTGAGGATGCCTGCCACAGATGTGGGCAAAATGTCAGGAGAGAATGCTTCTGGAACATGGCCATACAGCCTGGAAAATGCACAGCGATTCCAGCCATGAAAGCCTTTGACACACACAGAAATATTATTTTCTGCACAGGAAATTCTAATTGTTTGGAGATGTACCTTTTCATAAGAATTGAACAACATTTGTATTCAACAAGAGGCTGCTGTTATGTTACTGCATAGATGGACCAGAAAAAGTGACCACTGTGTATCAGGACTAATGCACAATGGAAGTAATGTTTATCAGGATTAATGCATAAATGGATTGATGTCCAGTTGGTTTTGGATCACTCTTCCCTATGTCCCATTGTGCATCTTCTCCATTTGTTAATAAGGTTTCTTTCTATACAGCTAATTATTTGTAAACTTATATAAGACACATTATGTCCAAATTCCAATCTGTGTTTTCTGTGCAAATCACCAACATGTAATTTTTGCACAGAATAAATCCCCAATTACAGTATTTTTCCCAGTAGATAGTCTGTTCACCACGTTAAGACAGTGGATGTGGCTCATAATGAGACATGTCACATTATCACAGGATATCTATACCAACACCTCTGGAGAAATTAAACTGTTTTTAGCCAGTATTGCACCACCTGACATCTGTTGGGAAGTAGCAGTCTGTAATGAAAGGACCAAGGCATTGACTTCTCCAGCCCAACCTCTGTTCAGATATCTTAGAATCATAGAATCCTTGAGTTGGAAGAGACCTTGTGGGCCATCCAGTCCAACCAGCAAGCCAATGACTTAAATCAAGAAATAGCTCCCTAAGATCTACAGAGGTACTCACAGGAACACCTCAGCAAGCAAGAGTCCAAAGATGGCAGGCGAAAATCTGGAATTTCAATCAGTGGCTGATACCAGATGAGAAACTCCCTCTGTGACGCACAGAAGACTGGGTTACTTGGAAGACACTTAACAGACTGCACTCTGGCACCACAAGATGCAGAGCTAACCTTAAGAAATGGGGCCACAAAGCGAAGTTCACAACATGGGTACAGAGCAAAGCAAACCACAGACCACTTACTGCAATGTAGCCCATGCTCTGCTACATGCAGAATGGACCTTCTCACAGCAACACCAGAGGCACTCCAAGTGGCCAGATTCTGGTCAAAGGACATTTAGCATAATGCCAAGTTTTTAACTTTGTGTTTTTAAATACATTATAACTATGCCCTCGATTTGCTTCTGACAAATTAAAACAAAAACAAAAACTGAACATAGCCCCAAAGTGCCACAGCCTGTTCAAAAAATAAAATAGCCTGTTCAAAACAAGATATAGTGCTTCTATGGATAAAAATCATTTTTGCACAGCATGTGTTGTTTCTTATACAGAAAAAAAACCCTGTATGAAACAACTATGTGCAAAGCTTGTACAGAATCACTCTCCACAACAGCACTTTAGGTCCTCCACTGCAAACTAAATCCGTCCCTGATCTACATAATTTTTCGGAAAATTAGGTTACACAACAATCTTTTATGGCAAAGGCCAAGAAAATTTGGACAGTTGTACATTCCCTAACTTTTGATTATGACATCTAAAATGAAGTTCCATGTCTTTTTTTTATCAAAGCCAGTCAGCGAAGATGCCAAGCAGGCAGCTGTTGCAATAGTGTGCTGTCACAGGCTTTTGAGGCTAAAGCAGGAATAGGCAAACTTTGGACCTCCATGTGTTTTGGACTTCAACTTCCATAATTCCTGACCTCAGGCTGCCAGAAGGGCTGGCTACCAAATTTTAAAAAGTGACAAAATGCAGCCATAAAACCAGAATCTAGAACTATAGCATAACCACCAAATCCGTTGGAGATACAGTCCCAGACTTTGCATGGATACACACAACTATGAATTGTGAACCTTTAAAAATGAAGTATTACTGGCCCAAGATTACCATGGTGTCATACTGAAGGACCTGAAAATGCCTGGGTCCAGAGGGCATATTTTGTCAGATGTGGATAAATGTTACCACAGATACCTGTTCTGCATATACAGGGGTGGAACTATACAGGGGTTGGCCTAGATAATAATAAATAGAGCTTTTCAGTCTTTGCTTTTCCAAATGTTTCAGACACTACACTAAACAGATATAGTTTTTTTAAAAATATCACTTTGACTGTCATGGTTCTTTCCTCTGAGATCCTGACTTTTGTAGTTCTAACCACCTCAACCAAATACAGTGAAGACAACAGCTCTTGCACTTTGCTACTCTGCTGCTGAGTACACATGCCCAGTGTGGAACACATCTCACCACACTAAAACAGTGGATGTGGCTCTTAATGAGACATGCCGCATTATCACAGGCTGTCTACGCCCTACACCACTGGAGAAATTACACTGTCTAGCCAGTATTGCACCACCTGACATCCACCGGGAAGTAGCAGCCAATAATGAAAGGACCAAGGCAATGACATCTCCAGCCCATCCCCGTTCGGATATCAGCCAGCACTCCAACGTCTTAAAGAAATAGCTTTCTTAGATCTACAGAGATACTCGCAGGAACACCTCAGCAAGCAAGAGCCCAAAAGTGGCAGACAAAAACGCAGAACCTCAAGCCATGGCTGATACTGAATGACAGACTCCCTCTGGGCACACAGATGATTGGGTGACTTAGAAGGCGCTGCACAGACTGCGCTCTGGCACCACAAGATGCAGAACTAACCTTAAGAAATGGGGCTACAAAGTGGAGTCCACGACATGAGAGTATGGAGAAGAGCAAACCACAGACCACCTACTACAATGCAACCTGAGCCCTGCCACATGTGGAATGGAGGACCTTCTTATAGCAATGCTGGAGGCACTCCAAGTGGTCAGCCACTGGTCAAAGAACATTTAGTATAATGCTAAGTTTTTTTAAATTTTATGTGTTTTTTAATACATTACAACTGGAACCCTTGGTTCATTTCTGTAATGATAAATAAATACCACCTCTACAAATTACACATCCCACAGGATGGTGCCATAAAAGTTCAAGTAGCATCAGCTGACTGTAGTTGAATAGTACAGGTAACATTTCATCAATCAACAAATTATCATTACCCGAAGTAATCTGTACTAGAAAAAAAAAACACCTTACCAGTTGGTGCTGTGTTGGAACAGGATACTGCTGTCTTGACAGGGTTTGATTTTGCAGCATTTTCTGGAGCATGATTTTTTGCTGCAGAGCTAATGAAACGTTTGGTGGTCTTTGAAGAGGCTGGGTAGATTGTTGCTGCTGTTGTGTTGATTGTTGTTGCTGTGTCTGCGGCTGAACAGCTACCGAGTTAGGCTGTTGTTGTTGCTGCTGCTGCTGTGCATAGTGCAGAATCGAAGGCTTGTTTTGGGAGCCCAAAACAGAAGGCATTTGCTGGCTGGGTTGTTCTGAGTTGAACTGAAACAAAGGCTTGATGTTGTTCTGAGGCTCCTCCAGCGGCAACTGGCTGTTGCTGATATAACCTCTGCTGAGGTCCTGAGTCTTTCGTTGCATCATGGTGTTGACAGAGCTTCCCTGGGATAGGGCATTTGCCCGGTAGATGTAGTTATTCATTCCTTTTGGCAGATTCCCATTTGCAGGGACTCCTGAGTTCTGCGGGTTGAACTGCTGCTGATGAAAAGGAGGGTTGGCCATTTTTTCCTGGACAAACGATCCGGGAGGAAGCTCTGCAGGTGATAAAGTGGGCCAGGAGGAGGGCGGTTGACCCTGCTGGCATTGCTGGATCATGGCATGTTGTTGACGGTTGGCTGCTATTTGTTTCAACTGCTGGGCATGGGAGACTTCCTGCCAGGTGCCCATTGGACGGTTGGGAATTGACGGTGCTTGAGATGGAGTGGTTTGCGTCTGAGGCACTGAAGGAATCGGAGATGAGCTGGACATAGCAGCAGTTGACATGGTGAAAGGTGGACCCGTAGAGGAAGGCCTCATTTGGGGTGACCCAGCTGAAGCCTGGTTCATGGTGGGTGAATATTCTTGCTTGATCACCATTTTATCCATCTGCAATGATGAAGATCTGGCAGGAGGAGTTCTCGGGATCTGCTGCCCGAGGTCAATGTTAAATGGTTCATCTTGCTTGATGGTAGCATTTATCATATTTTCGAGTTCAAGATCACTCATGGGTGGCACAGAAATATTTGTCAGCTCATTGAACAATTCTTGAAGTTCTGGGTCCATCAGCTGTTCTCCCATGTCTTCTCCATATCTGTTAGGAAAAGGATGGCCCTGGGACACCTGATTATCTGAGTGTTTGCTGCAAGAGTAAGTCTCTCCTGGTTCTTTCTTTACCTCCTTTAGTGTCAAGTTAAACATCCCATTGGCATTTGAGTGGGTGTTGTTTGTTGGGCTGTTGACCTTCCTCTGAGAACCTTGTCCGACTGTCAAGGCTCCTAACACCGAGGGGTTCTGGCAATTATTACCACAGTGTCCATGTCCCGCAGAAAGGTTATTATCCCCAACGCGGACCCTCTTAATATCAAGGAAGGTGTTGTCAGCAATGCCGTTTGATCTCTTATTGTTGGCTGGTGAGAGATTCACCACCAGCTTTCTCTTTAAAGAACCCTGGAGCTGGAAGAAACAGAAGGAAACTTTTAGCAGGCATTCAAAAATATCCTTATAATAAATGGTCATTTGAATGTGGTGGCTATAACATTGGTGCTGAAATTACATGCCTGACAGATAAACACACAATCTAAATTACAAAGACATATATTAGAATCACATTTTGGAAGTTTATGAGATGAAGTTTTTTAAACTCGACATATTTCAGGCCTCAGCAGAACTCATTCTGTCCCTGCATGAAGGTTTATCCATGACAAATATTATAGCAACCTATCAATGGCTCACAACAAAGGGAACAATGAAGTCATCCATAAGGGTTTTGTATTGAACTGTCATCCTTCTACCTCCACCTCCTTTGACCACCTGGAAACCCAGACAAAGCTTCTACATGGATTCAAAGGAATCTTGTAGCATCTTAAGAGATTAACCAAGAGAATGAGGTTGATAGCATAAGCACAATCAGTCCATGTTTATTTCCTCAAATGCACAAAGAACTTGGATTGGGCTTTTCCTGCATGGCAGGGGGTGGAACTACATGGCCCATGTGGCCTCTTCCAACTCTTATTCTATTATTCTAAGTGAAGACTGAGGAAGTAGACTTGGAGTGCATCTGCATCACAGAATTTTTGCAGTACAACACCACTTCTATTTGGCAGAGAAGGTTAAAGAATGTTACAACCACAACCATCCCATAAGTTGGCAATTAACAACAACCCCTTTGACTATACTTTGATGCTGTTTGCCCAGATGTGTCCCCGTTTTCACCTATGAAATGCTGGTGGATATGGAACAGTAAAGAGAATGGTGTAATTTGTGCTCTATAATAATGGGGTACTTTCTTCATTTCTTCTATAATATGTTCCATGTAACTTCGTGAAGTATATCTGTCTCTTCCCCCCCCCCCCACCCCCAAATGATTTTAATTCCCTTTCTGATAAAACAAAATACTCTGAGAATGAAGAAAGTCTCCAGGCAACAAAACTCACATCCCTGGCAGCACATTTTGCTTTTCTTAATGTTTACTTCATTAATTTGGTACTAATGGTGGTGAGAAGGGGAATCGATAGCTTTTCCGAATACTAGGAATGTGGAGTGAATAAAAACAGATATTCAATTGACCACAGTTCCTAAACTGGTGATTATGAGATTTCTGTCTTTACTATTGTGTCTGTGACCCATACAAACTTCAGGTTACACACAAGGTGATACGACTGTTTGCTGCAGAGAGAAAATTAAATGGACATGCTTTTAGTATATATAAATGTTTGGTTTACGACACTCATTCCCTCTTTCTGTCCTTGTGATTGTCATTTTTCCAAATGCTATCACTTGGAGGTTAACTGGGATTTAGAATAATCCTCCTATTATCCTAAATATATGAAGCTATCTTATACAATATCAAGTCCCTTGGTTCATTTTGTTCAGCTGGGCCATGGCCAATTGCTGGAAGTTATCCAATGCAAGTATCTGCAAATTGCAGGTATACAGATCTTACCTATCCATATCTGACAAAATATAGGGTGTCCATAAAATCTCTTTACCATTTAAATGGTCAGCTGGCCTCTCAGCTGACCTCTCAGCCAAAGGGAGGGCTGTTTCTGAGACTCCCAGTGGGGAGGGCTGCTCTCCCCAAAGTCAATTCCTCCCAAATCCCTCCAGTATTTTCTGTTGGTCATGGGGATTCTGTATGGGAAGTTTGGCCCAATTCTGTTGTTGGTGGGGTTCAGACTGCTCTTTGATTGTAGGTGAACTATAAATCCCAGCAAATACAACTCCAAAATGTCAAGGTCTATTTCCCCCAACTCCTCCAGTGTTCACATTTCGGCATATTGAGTATTTGTGCCAAGTTTGGTCCAGATCCATCATTGTTTGAGTCCACAGTAATCTCTCGATGTAGGTAAGCTACAACTCCAAGACTCAAGAGCAATGCCCACCAAACCTTTAAATATTTGCTGTTGGTCAGGAGAGCCGTGTGCTAAGTTTGGTTCAATTCCTGATGAAGTTCAGGATGTTCTTTGATTGTAGGTTAACTATAAATCCCAGCAACTACAACTCCCAAATGACAAAATCAACCTCCCTTGACTCTACTTGTATTCAAATATGGCTGTATTGGGTATTTGTGCCAAATTTGGTCCAGCGAATGAAAATACATCCTGCATATCAGATATTTACATTATGATTCATAACAGTAGCAAAATTACAATTGTGTAGTAGCAACAAAAATAGTTTGAGGTCACCACAACATGAGGAACTTTATTAAGGGGTCACGGCGTTAGAAAAGTTGGGCACCACTGTCCTAGATCAATGAGAAATATATTTCCTCTAGCTTTTTGTTTTGATTATTCTGTGCAAACTGAGTGATTCTGGAAGTGTTCGTCTAAAAGAAGCAAGCCTTCAAACTGTAATCTTGGACAAAAAGGGTGATTTGTTTTAGAATAACTAAATTCAGTGAGCAACAGATGGTTTGTTAGAACTGAAATTGGGAAGGAGGATTCTTTCTTCCAAGAAGTGTGTGTATGTATGAGAGAGAGAGAGAGAGAAAGAAAGAAAGGAACATACACAATGAATCCACTGTGACAGTGGACAATTACTGATGAAAGAAATAATATATATTTCTACTGTTTTTCTACTTGCTGCCAAAATAATCTCTATTTACCACTCAATTACCAAAAAAATGTAAAGAGGATGCTCTTCTAAATATCTGTGTAATTTTGATCCTTAATGATCCATGTTGAAAAAATAACTAGAAATGAATTCTTTTGATAAATCAGATTAAATTAGAATAAGCAACGGGGGAAATGTTGTATGTTTGTTTTAGGGAGGGTTGGCCAGTTTAAATGGCAGACACAAAAGATTTGTCTACCTAATCTCTGCCACAAAGTACCACAGAAATGCCTCCTTGCAGTGTTGATTCCAGTCGCTGGCACGCAATAAGGGTATCGGTTAAGGCAAACGCTACAGCTGACGGGTTATAAAATGGGATGTGTGGTTCACTTTGTCCAAGAAGCAAAATAAGAACAGGGGAGAACAGTGCAGTTTTAAATAGGTCAAAACTGTTAATCACAACCGGGCATTCATTCCTCTGTGTGAAACAAATAGGCATGAAAGAGCAGCCTTCCCTGCCATCGGAGATGTGTCTTCTCCCCCGCCCCCATTTGTCCTAGAGAACTCTTTTTCCCCCCATTTCAGATCCCTTTCAACCATGAATAAATTAACAATCCCTCGCTGCTAAATCTACAGAAATTAATGTCAACATATATTACCAGGGGATGTGAAGCCGAGAGTAATGCAAAGCCAAGCAGGGGAGTAACGCAACCGCTTAAACTGATCCAATCCCAATAAGAGAAAGAAATATCAAAGGCATTATAAATGTTGACGGGATAATCAGGCATGTAAAAGAGGTCACCCAACACCATCCTACTAGGGCAAGCGATGCATTGTTTACCCGATTTAGAAGTCAGCTTAAAATATTAACACACACACAACCGTGCGCAGGAAGCGCCTAATCCTTCAAAAATGTGCCTGCTGCCATTTGATTTTGCCTTTTCGACATCCTGCATGGCAGATTTAAAGGAAGGGAGATTACCCGGCACAGCCTGCTGATTGTTTGCAATCCCAAGTTCCTGCACAGCCTATCCCACTGAACGGCTGGGGCTTTTCGGTGTGATTAGCAGATGTGCAGAATTCCCTACGTCTGCACACACGGCCCATATCCTGCGAAGAGAGCCAAGCAATAGGGAAATCCCAACCCTAAAAGGCTTTCCAAACGTTTTCTGTAGCAAGTCTTGGGGTACTTAAAAGTAACCAGTGGACCCACTGCCACCTGAATTTGGAAGTACAGTCGTCCCTCCTCATTTGCGGTTTTAACTTTTGCAGATTTGATTATTCCCTGTAGGAATCTTTATATCATCCAGTGCGACTCTAAAGTGAATTTCCTCTGGGCCTACTGCAGGACATAGAAGGGCCGGGCTTAGCATAGCGGCTAAAACACTAAAAATCCTGCCGATTGAAAGGCTGGCAGTGCAAGCCCAGGTTGGGGTGTGCACCCGCTGTCAGCCTCTGCATCCGCTCACCTAGCAGATCGAAAACAGAAATGTGAGTAGATAAATAGGTATTGCTTTAAGCACGGAGGTAATAAAGGTGCCTACAAGGACATGCCAGCAATTAGACCAGGGGGATATCTATGAATAACAAATAACTCCTTGGCATGGAAGATGAAGCAACAGCACCTCCCGTGGCCAGACCTGATCACAGCCTCCAGATGCTGGAAATGAAAGGAATTGGGAAAAGCCTTTACCTTTGTTTATGTATTGTCTGCCCTTGTTAACATTGAATGTTTGCTGTATATGTGTTCTGTAATCCACCCTGAGTCCCATCGGGGAGATAGAATGGAATAGAAATAAAGTATTATTATTATTATTATTATTATTATTATTATTAATTTCTAGAGATAACACTTTCTTGGCATCCGTAGGTTTTTTCAGTACAATTCTATATGGTCAGTTACCAGCAGAAGTCAGCCATAGAGCTAAGCTGGAGAACCTAGGATGCATCTATACTGTAGAATTAATGCACTTTCACATCACTTTACCAGCTATGGAATTCTGGGAGCTATAGTGGACTGGGCTGTAGTGCAGCTAGTTAATAGCTAACTGCATTAAATCACTACTGACCGAGAGGTCATGAGTTTGAAGCCAGCCCATGTCAGAGTAAGCTCCTGACCATTAATAGTCTAGCTTGTTTTCAACCTATCAGTCTGAAAGACAGTTGCATCTGTCAAGTAGGAAATTTAAGTACTCCTTTATGCAGGGAGGCTAATGTAACTAATTTGTGATACCATAAAACTATAAAACCTTCCAGCAGCATGCAGAAGAATGAGGAAGTACTTCATCAAAGGACTCGGTATAACAAATGGACGGTAAAACGGCAGTTCCCCCTGTGGCCGGAATCGAACATACCCTCATGAAACTGGAAAAGCTGGAATGTTAAATGCCTCTGTGTCCGTG